ATCAATGTTTTAACTATTTTCATATTTTTAACAATCCAATGAGGCCAATATTGTCATCAAGAACATCCTCATTTATAGATAAGGATACCAAGGCACAGAGAACTTAATTTGTCCAGGGTCACACAGCTAATAAACAGCAGGATGATGATTTGAATCCAGGCAGCTGACTCCAGAGTCCCTCCTCATGCACTACACTTTATTTCTGTGAGCAAAGTTCATGCATATATCTATCTAATATGATATATATGTACACATGTTTATCATTCATATACATACTATACCTATATTGTCATACATGATTTTTATTTGCTTATTTAGATTGCAGAGTATTTTCTTCCCTACTAGCAAGATGGCTACACAACTGTTCCAAGTTGATTTCTTTTTAAAAAAAAGTTCTATTTATTTGAGGGAGAGAGAGGGAGAGTGCACAAGTGGGGGGAGGGGCGGAGGGAGAGGGAGAGAGAGAATCCTTAAGCAGACTCTCCGCTGAGCATGGAGCCCGATGCAGGGGCTCAATCCCAGGACTCTGAGGTCATGACCTGAGCCGAAATTAAGAGCCAGCCGTTTATCCACCTGAACCACCCAGGCACCCCCCAAGTTGATTTCTTGTCCTAACTGCAGGGACCTGGGCATTCTATACATCTAGCGCAATGTGATTAATAATTTTTTTCAACCTGGAAAAAAAAAGGACATTCCTTTTCGGTCCTGAAAAAGAATTAATTTATTTTTAACAAGCCCGGAAGGCCCCAGCTGCCAGGAAGGCCCGGGATTCTGGGCCTCCTGCTCACTCTTATCTTCTTGCCTTTATACCTCTCAACCCTTTCTTTGTTTGAGGGGATGTTCCTGCTTCAGGCTTGACTGGCTCCTGCCCCCTGCCTGCCACTTCTGGTATTCACACAGGAGTCATTGTCAAGCCCTGGACAAAAGCTCCTTGTCCCCTAGGCTCCCAGTCTCCTTGGCACACACTCCTTGTGTTTCCAGGTACCTAAGGCTCTAGGTCCCGGGTCTGCCCTGCCAGAATGTAAAGGTGCTGGGCTCAGTGGGACCTTGACTCAGGACCTAACAAGCTGGGAGAACAGAAGCCAGTGGGCTGATCCCTTTGGGTACCTAAACTTGGGGAAAAGATGGGGGGACTCAGGAGAAATGGCTCTGTTTCTGCATTCCCAGACCCTGAGGACCTACCATAGGCTTTCTTTCCTGCCCTGAAAATCTGTCACATGCAACTGTTTCTTTGTAAGTCAAACTTTGTTTCCTATCTCAACACCACCCACACACACACACACACACACACACACACACACACACACACGAGAAAAGAATTAGGAAAATGCTTAATGTTGTAAGTGCTTGAAGTCAGAAACAAGGAAGGCATTTGCTAAGGCACTTATTGGCTTGGTGCATGTGCAGGTGATTAGGGCACTGTTTAGGGAGGAACTGAGGTCTGGTGGACAAAGGTGGAGTTCTAACCACAGCCCAGTTATTAGTCCACAGGAAACATCCTGTTACTATTATAAAGATGAAGTGCTACTTTTTTTTTTTTTTTAAGAACTTTCTAAAAGTCTTCCTTTCCATTCTGATTCAGTTCAAGTCTGTGAGACAGGAAGGTCTCAGGGCAGCCATGCCTGCAACATTAGCTAATCAGACTCCCAAGAAACATTCCATTCTGCTTAGGAGGGCTTTGGAGAATGGTTTGCTCATGGTGGCTTTTAAAATAAACCGAGGGTTGCCAGCTGAATGGGCTCCCTGAGAGCTAGTGACCTGGTTCCAGGCTGGTGGCCAGAAGGCTTGCCTCCTGGTGGGATGGTGGCTCTGCCTGTTCCCCATCCTCTGTGGATAAAATAGGAAGTCCTGTAGCCTCTGTCCCTTCCCATTTAAAACTGGGGAAACTGAGGCCCAGGAAAGTAATAACAAAAGTTAGTAGTAACAACCAACACCTAGAGCACTTTATATTAGCTTATCTGTAAGCGTCAAGGGGTGGGGCATGGTGGCCTAGTGGCAAGTAAGATTTGGTTTCAGATCCTGGCTTTGCCACTTTGAAGCTGTATGACCTTGTGTAAGTAGCTAAACCTCTCTGAGACTCCATTTCCTGGTTTGTAAAACACTGATAATGGTACCTCTTCTGCAGGGTTATTATAAGGAGTAGAAAAAATGGATGTAACCTAGAGCAGTGCCTGGAACCTAGGGGGTAACTGATCAGAGGTCTTTCTTTTTATTAGGGGCACAATGCAGGCCAGCCATATGATAAATTGTGTTTTCCAGCCCTGCTTGACAGCAAGAATGGCCCAAGGAACTGGTTGAAAACAGATTCCAGGGCCTCATCCCCTGCAGTCTCTGGAGAGGCATGGGAATCTAGAGTGTAACAAGCCACAAGGTGATTCCTATCAGATGGTTTTGGAACACGTCCAGGAACCCTCTACTTCAACCTCTTGGCTGCGGTCTTTTGTTCTCTATGCACCTGGCCCCATATTAGTAAAGCTTTAGCTTTTGCTTGAAGGTAGACATGATTAAAAGGTCAACTATCATTATACATTCTCAAAGAATGTGTCTTGAACTTTGCACAGTAGATTTATGCCTGAAAAGCTGTTTGCAAATGGAATTTGGGGTGTGTATGTGTGTGTGTGTGTGTGTGTGTGAGGGAGGGAGGGAGAGAACACGCATATCTCTAATACCTTAGTTTACTGAATCATTCGATTCAACTAAATGCGTATTATTTGAGTGACCATTATATGCTGGGGAGACAATGATAAAGAAGATGGAGGCTCCATCTTCAAGGGGCTTACTTAGGGTCCACGGAGGAAGATGGTCACATAAACAGGCCCTTACAACACTGGTTACATAGGGTTAGCACAGGGAGCTTGGAGAGCATGGAAGGGGAAGTGTGCCCAACCTGGGGCTGGGGCATCTGGGAAGTTCTAGGGGAAGTGACGGCTGAAGGCGAGGCCTGTACACTGGAATCTAGTCTCAAATCCCTTTGCAAAGTGAATGATCCTTCCTTAATTTATCCACGTGGAAAAATGAACTTTCCCATCACGGTCACCTGGATACATTTGTACAACGGCGCAGCGGCACAGATTCTGAGTTCCTGCTAAGGACAAGGCACAGAGTTAAGCATCGTAGGGCACCGAGGGTGACAACGGCCCACTCCTGCCGTCGGGGAGTTTATGCCACACCTCCTCAGGACCGATTTCATTTCTCATAGAGTCATTCATCCAGTGTGATCTGTTTGTGACTGAACAGGTAGTTTATTATTTAGGTCTTAACTCCCTTTGCTGAAAAGACTTTATTCTCTTTCTTCACCATGTAGTAGGGAAATCCAGTTCCGACCCACACTTAAACTTGGGCATACATTTTACCCAAGAGAAAAATCAAAGTGCACACTGAGTTCAGGGTACTGTTTGCAGATCCAAGCCATGAAGCCGGGGAGGCCTGGATGGCTCTGTAGGGTCTGTAGGGTCTGTACCTGTGGCAGCTCGCAGACCTGGCAGTGCCCGTGCTAAGTCAAGCGTTCTTTCCCTCTGGGCCTCAAGGACACTAGTGCCTTTCAAACCACCTGTCTCAGCCCCAAGAAGGGAAAGAGGCAAGGGAGGAACAGAATTTCTTGTGAATTATAATTACATCATGTTTGAACAGAAGATGGCAAGGTATTTAAGCCAGCAGGTGAAGTCCCCACACTGACTGAGCTTGTCTGGGTGTATGGTCTGGTAGGAGCTGCTTAGACCTTTTGAGTGAACCTGTGTTCCCATCTTGCAGATGGGGAACCTGAGGCACCAGAGGTGTCTGGAAGCGGTGTTGGACACCTGGTGGTTTCCACCCTGCTAAACTCATCTTTTAAAATCTCCCCTGGATACTACCCACTACCTCCCCACCCCTGCTTTTCAAAAGAACAAGCCCAAAGCATCTGCCTCCTGTTTTTTGCCAAGTTGCTACCACTTCCTGAGACCCTGCCCCCCTCTATCTGCCCGGTGAAATTCAACCCATCCTTCAAAGTCCAGCTCAGGTGTCACCTCTCCTCCTGGTTGGAATTCATCTCTCCCTCCCCAGCACTCCTTGGCTTGGCCCTTTCTCTCATTACTTCTCCTAGGGCAACCGGCTTCGCCTCCCAGATCCTCAGTTTTCTCTTTTGTGCACTGGCATAGTAGTAACACCTACAGTCGTCTTGAACCCCTTGTAGCTCGCGGTCTTCTTCGATGATGCGATGAAAGCTGCGGGAAGAGCGAATGCTTACTGAGGCCCATTATGTGTCATGCCCGGGGTTTAAGACTTTTCTGCCGTTATTTCATGTAATTGTCAGTCGGGTCTCCCTAAACGGGTACTATATTAATTCCGCAGATAAGTGGAGAGGTCCAGAGAGGTGAAATGCCGCTTCCGAGGTCACAGAGCTAGTTACTAGCAGAGCTTGGTTTGCCATACGCCAGAGCCGGGGTCCCAATCACCCGACCGGGTCCCGTGCCCGCTCTCTGCCTTTCAGCCGGGGAGGATGGGGGCGGGGAGAACACAGCACACAGCACGTCTCCTACAATTTAGGGGTTCATTCACCCCCATGCCCACCCACCCGGCAGGTCTAGCAGGCCTTCGCTGGATCGTTGTCTAAACGCAGGCCTGGCTGTGCCCTCGGCAGGGATCCCGGTCAACAGCTGGTGACCGAAACCCCGGGCCACGGAGCGGAGCCGAGGCTGGGACGCCTGTACCGCGGGGTACCGGCTAGCGCGGCGCGAGAGCCACGGAGCGGGTCTCGGGTCCCGAGCCCCAGGAATGTGGGAGGGCTGCGCGGAGAGGGCGGGCACGGCGGGGGCGCTTCCTCTGCCCGCCGGAGGGGAGCCGCCAGGGCGCGCGCGGGGCGCGCCACCGCCCCCTCCCCGCCACCCGCCCGCCCGGCCGGTTGGGTGGGGGCGGGGGCTGTAGCGGGAGGGCGCCGAGGGGCCGCGGTGCTCTGCAGCCGCCTGGCCGGCCCGGCGGGAGGAAGCGATGAATATTCAGAGGGGGAGGGGAAGGGAGGGGGCTGAGCGCTCGCCGCGGCTCCCTGCAGCCGGAGCCGCATGACGCGCGGAGGAGGCAGCAGGAGCCGCCGAAGCGGCAGGAGCCGGGATCAGGGCGCCGCGCGCGGGGGGTGGGCGCCGCTTGCTCCGCCCCGCGAAGCCCCTGCGCGCCCAGGGACGCGTCCCTCCCGCGGCAGCCGCGCAAGGCTCCGCCGTGTGGCCGCCGCCGCCGCCGCTGCCATGTCCCCGGGGAAGCCCGGGGCGGGCGGAGCGGGGACTAGGCGGACGGGCTGGGGGAGGAGGAGGAGGAGGCGGCGGCTGGAGGCGGCGACAAGGACGCCCGGGGTCGGGCGCACGGCGGGGCCCGACTCGCGCGTCCCGGGCACGTTCCAGGGCGCGCGGGGCATGAAGCAGGCGGCGCGGGAGGCGCGGCCGCCTCCGCGCTCGCCGGGGCTGCGCTGGGCGCTGCCGCCGCTGCTGCTGCTGTTGCGCCTGGGCCAGGTGAGCGGCCGGGTGGGCCCGGGAGCGGGGGTGGGGGTGGCGGGCACGAAGGGTGCACGAAGGGGCGGGACTGGCATCCCCTGCACCTGCCCCGGTGTGCCCTGTCGGTGCGGTTCGCGGGAGGTGGCGAGGGGCCCGAGGGCTCCGAGCCCCCCTCTTGGAGGGGGGCTCGCAGGAACCCAGCCGGCCTCGCGCGCCGGCGACCGAGCCCATGCCCCGGCTGCCCAGTCCAGCGCGGCGGGATCCGGGGTCCCGGGGTGCCCGTGGCCTCCCAGTGGAAGCCCCCGCGCTGGCTCCAGGCCGTCTCTGGCCCGGCCCTTCCCGGAGCTGGTCACATCTGGCCGGCGCGGGCCCCGCTAGCCCGCCCGCGGCGGCCGGAGGGGGCGTGTTTGCAAAGGGCTCTCGTCGCGGAGCGGGGCCGGCCTGGCCGAGCGCGGCCGACCTCCGACCCGGCCTGCAGGGGCCCGAGGGGCCGGGCCGACCGGCAGCGGCGGCGGCCGGGGGAGCCGGGGCAGGGCCGGGCGCTGGCCCTCCGGGCCGAGGGGACCGCTTCTGGGGGGAAGTCCCCAGCCCGGTGAAAGGTGGCCCCTCGCAAGCTTTCGTCAAGGCGACGGTCCCCTTCCCGGAGAAGCTCCTTGCTTCCCTGGGCGTTTGTTTCGTGCTTTGTGGGCGCAGGCTCTCCCCGCACCGCCCTGTTTTCTAGCTTCGCTTTTCAGATACTGCTGTGCCTGGCATTTTGGCGACCGACCTTTCTGAAAGCGCCGTTTCCCCTTCGTAGTATTCCTATTGGGGCTGAGGCTGGGCAGCTGGGAGTCGTTCCCATGTCACAGATAGGGAACTTGAGAGGGAGAAGTGAAAGAGCAGAATCACCCAGCCCTGGTCGCGGGAGCTGAGCAAGCGGGTTCGTCTTCACAGCCTTCTAGGAGCCTGCTAGGGTGCTGCACCCGCGGTCGAAAGTGGCCTGGTGATACCCCTGTTGTGCATTTTGTTAATGAAAATCTCCCTTGTTTTATACAAACAACAGCTCTAAGGAGATAATGTTGGAAGCCTGGGAAATGAGTTATTGGCTAAGGATGGAACCTGGTTTCAGGGAAAACTTTTCAAGCACGGATAGAGGATTGTCTGAGAGCAGAAACACCATCCTTGGGGCCGCAAAGAAGCCTAGCCAGCAGGATAAGGGAACTGGGGCCTGGGGGCTGTAGGAACTCTTCACACCCAAAGAATTGCTCTGGGTGCACACCTCCCCTCCCAGTTTTCTTCAGCAGACCTTGGAAGGCAGTGTGACCTCCTCCTGCAGAAAACACTCAATTAGCTCTAGGGCCCGGCTTCAGTTTCCCACACCTTCTTTAACAGCGTTTGTAGGGTGGGCTAACACCACCTGCCCCCAAGAATTGTTTGAGGAGCGTCCACTGGCTAATGTCTGAAAGAGCTCTGTAAACATTAAAAGGTGTCCAGATGGGGTTACTGTAAGACAGTGTGTATGGACTGCCTTCTCCCTGTCCCTGTAAGGAAATTCACATAGAGCAGTCTATGAGATTAAAAAGAAAATTGCCTCATAATTGAAGATCTCTTGGACCAAAGTTTATACTAAAGAAATATTTGTTCTTCATTTATTTTTAGCTTAATTTGACACACATATATTTTTTTATTATATTATGTTTTTACTTTGTCCATGGTGGTTGCTAGCTATGCTTTGAATCAGTGAAAAAATGTCTGGGGTAAATTGATTACTTGCCCAATCCTTCCTTGTATTTCAGTAGCAAATTGCTGCTCTCTGCTTGTCCCCTATTCAGATATTTCCTTCCTCTCTAATGTGTTCTGTGGAAACTCAAGGCAACTCTTTATTTCTCATTTTGGGATACATTATAAAATAGGAAATCTAAAAGGCCCTCTGAAAAAGTGTTTTCAAAATCCACAGTTGACAGTTCATTTTGAGAGCGGCTACTTCAGGGAATTTTCGAGCTGGACCAGACTTTCAAGATAGCCCAAACCCTTTAATTTTTAGGTGAAAATATTGAGGCCTAGAGAACACGGCGATCAGGCTGAGGTCACTTGGCAAGACAGTGGAGGAGCTGGGACTGGAACTTGTGTTGCCTGCCTCTGCCTAGTCTTTTCATGATACTTTCTCTCTTTTTTTTTCCTTCTTCTGCCATGTTTTACTTTGTTGTAACTTTTTTTTTAAGATTTTATTATTATTATTTTTTAAGATTTTATTTATTTATTTGACAGACAGAGATCACAAGGAGGCAGAGAGGCAGGCAGAGAGAGAGGAAGGGAAGGAGGCTCCTCACTGAGCAGAGAGCCTGATTCGGGGCTCGATCCCAGGACTCTGGGATCATGACCCGAGCAGAAGGCAGAGGCTTTAACCCACTGAGCCACCCAGGCACCTCTATTTATTTTTTTGACAGAGATAACAAGTAGGCAGAGAAGCAAGCAGAGAGGAGGAGAAGCAGGCTCCCCACTGAGCAGAGAGCCTGATGTGGGGCTCCATCCCAGGACCCTGAGTGGAAGGCAGAGGCTTAACCTGTGAGCCACCCAGGTGCCCCTTTGCTGTTACTTTTCACTATAGGTGTAGCCCTACCTCACTGGGTAAGCCCTATACTGTAGGTATAAATTGAATTTTTCAAAAGGAAACATGTTTGAGATTGGAAGTCATACTTGAGATTTCTGAAGTTTGTGCATTTAGGAGATGTGGATGAAGATATCAGGCTGCCTCCGTAACATTTGATTGGTTTTCTGAAGCTTGGATGGTGTGTGTATGTGTGTGTGTGTGTTAAGTGGAATCAACTGTAGCAGGTCAAAAAAATGGACAAGGCATGGAAAAGACACAGCTCTGTGAGGGAATTAATAGGGATGGGTTTGGAGGCTGAAGAGAGGAGATGCTGGAAGTTCCAGTGCTTAGTAGGGGCGGAAAAGCCATTTTTGACCCTGGCATCTCATTCCCCTTCTTCAAGACAGGAAGGACTGTCAGAGATGATTCCAACATGAGGACAGTGCTAGTTGAAGTGTCCGACCCCACCCATTCTCGTAGCATTTTTGCACACTAATTTTGGTTTATGTGTATGCTTTAGGCAATGTGACCGAACGGTCCTGTCCCCCGGCACCCTCCCCTCCTTTTCTTGGGAAATAGTCCTGACAGATCTTTAAGAAATAGCGTGATAGCTGGCTGCTTTAAAAGGGGGGGGGGGGGGGGGGAGAAAGGAAGAAAAAAAGGAAGAAAGAAAGAAAGAAGCTGGTGACCGATAGCTGTTTTGTTGGTCTTATAGTGTTTTGGATTTGTTTTTTCTTTGCTTTCTTGTTTCCTGGTGAATAATAAGTGTTTGCGTCTGTGATCTATAATAGCCAATTCTTAAGCCTGTTTACCTACCTGCTTCATCCAGACTACAAAAAATATGTTGACTCCTTTTAAAGTTGCTGTTAAAATCTCATATGGGTGACTTTAAATACTTTGTTTTGCTTCAGAACAACAATGGAAAAGCCAAATGATTATGTTTTGTTTGCAGACAGTTTAAGAAAACAGAGCAGGCTGGTTTATGGTTAGACTGTGACTTTGAGCTGATTTCAAGTTGAGCCCCACCATGAAGACAACCACGGATCCCCAAACTTTCCTGAGCAGGGAGAATCCTGGCTCCTGAGTGAACAATTTTGGTCAGCAAAGAGGTTATTTAGCTCCCAAAAGTAATTTTTTGCTTGGGGTTGAGGCCGAGGTAGAGTTGCTGGATGACTTGTAGGCCTGGGTTTAGCCCACACATGGCCCGCAATTACTTCTTAGTCCATTCACTTCTTGGCCAAGGGAATTATTTTGAGTGCAGAGTAAGAGGCAATTTCTGTATATTTCCTCTTTAACCTCACGCTGCTGGTAATATTATAATTAATAGGTAACGTTATACGTGGCAGATAACTGTGGTCAGGGTTTGAATGCATTATCTCATTTGACCATTTCAGAAATACTAAAAGGTAGGTGCTGTTCATGTTCCCATTTTATCTGAGAGAAAACTGGGCTTCTGTGCTTACCCACGATTTGTAACTAGGATTCAGTAGAGCCAGGCGTAATGCCTTCACTCCCCCCATTTACTGTCCTGTGCTGTACAAAGTCATGTATTTTAAAGAAGGTCTTCAGTGTGCAAGTGAGATAGAGGACAGACTTGTGGTGAAGAACGGGCTTGTGGGTTCTGAACCCTGATGGGGCAGGGAGTCCTTTTGGCTTTTCTGCATCTTGTACTCTATAGGGTCTGCTCTGTTTGTGATACGGACAACCCAGGTACCTCCTTCCTGCTCGTCTTGCTTTGAGAGCCTGAGTCTTAGTGGAGCCAGGGTCTGGAGTGGAAAGACCTGGGTTCGGGTCCTCGCTCTGCCACTTAGTTGCTGCATAAACTTGGGCAAGTCCCTTAATCTCGGTGACTCCTCATTTCCTTATCTGGAAAATGGGACTAACACTTCCTGCTTCCCTGGGCAGCTGAAGAGGAGCAAATATGATAGAAGAAGAACTGCCATATGAAATCTAAGGCACGATTCTAAGGTTGTGGCTACGGCTGTTGTTTGGGGAGAAGTGGGGCTTCACAACATTAGTTCATATAACAAATCCTTATCAGGCACTTCTCACAGAGTGACACCTGTGGGCATGCACGGTAAACTTAGCTCAGTCACAAAACCTTTTTTTTTTTTTTTAAATGTTAAGAATTATTTATTTTAGGGGGTATTAATAAAAAAAATAGTAAGTTGCATAACATGTCCATGATTTTATAGGTAGAGTGAGGCTAAATGTAGTATCTTGGCATATAAATTGTTTATGTTTAATAAAAAGCTGATCTGAAGAATAATACTGGGTACCTATTTATGAAATGATGATATGGTTATGGCAAACGTGTAAAGGTGAAAAATTGCTTAAGTTTAGGAAGTACTGGGCACACAGCAGGCAGCCTGCATTCGTGATTTACAGGCCTTGGGAGTGAGAGGTTACTCTGATCACCCCCAGCCAGCCACTCACAATTGTGATACAG